TGTCCTGGAGCTGGAGAGAGTTCAGAGAAGGGCTAAGAAACTAATTAAGGGTTTTTGGAATTCTCTGCCACAAGCAGTGGTAGCAGCAGAGAATATCGACTCATTCAAAAATCAATCAGATACCATTCTAAGAGACAGTAACATACAGGGGTAAAGGTACTCTTAAAAACTAAGACCACACAAGGACTCATATACACACATGCACACACAAACACACACAGACACACAAAGGTTGAACTTGGTGGACCTGTGTCTTTATTCAACCTCAAATACTATGTAACTATGTAACTAGCTTTGGGTGTCAAACACACCCAAGTACACCACCTTCCTTATTCTTTTATTTATTCTTATATTCACAACTTTTTGTTCACGCTAATGTCCCATGAGATGTAGATATAATAATTATTAGCAGAGGTTCCCCGAGATTTGAAAGTTATGGTTCCTCTGTAATAAAATGGTTGAGAAAGGCTGACCTGTTACATGTTTCAATTATATATCTTAACGATAAGTTGTATTATGATTGATTATGTTATGAAGATTTTAATGCTGAGATGTCCATTACCAAAAGATTGAAAAGATTCTTAGTTATAGGCAAGTCTGAAGATTGTAATGTGTTATGGAATATGCTTCTCTAGTGTTCATTAACAGTGCCGTTACACCTTAGACTTGTTAGCACAAACCAGTTTAATAGCATTTATTGACAGCATAGCAGGGTCAAGGCCAGTAGACTTGACAGCAGTGGTGTAAGCCCTCCATTGTTAAAAGACAGAGCATTACACATCTGAGACCTATATTGACTTATACTACATTGTATAAATGGAACAGACAGTTAACAGAATGCCCCGACCAATTAACCAACAAAATTAAAACAGAGCCACTAAAGACATTTCCAATTAAACTGTTAGTAACAACCAACATAAATAGACTTAGCCCACTGGGAGGGAGAATGCACTACAGAACTAGAGTAATATGGTTTTTGCAAAGTAAACTCCATTAATAATTGTTTTTACATGGTTATGGGTTCCTCTCATGAACCGTACATTAAATAGAAGCATTGAGGGATGCAGTTAAAATAACTGCCTTTCTTAATGCAGAAAATCAAGCACTGATGGAAATATAACAAACTGCATTCCTATATTTGTATATAGTAATTTTTGGTAATTATATATAGTAATTTTTGGTAATTATTTATTGCTTATAGCGTATGTACTATTATAAGCAGGGCTTGAAAAATTTGGCGGTGTCTCACCAGTCAGTCAAAAATTTCACCAGTCAGCATGACCTGACTATAGCCTTGCAATATACCGGTATGTTTCTCACTGTATAGCAGCTCCGCCCACTATTTCCTGCTTCCTGGTCACATGTTTCCTGTAACATCACAGGGCAAATGCTGCTACCGAGATCAAAGGGAGTTCGTATACTGAACTCTCTTTGATCTCCTGTCAGAGCCGTGCCGGTCCCGGCCGCATCGGGCACAGCGGATCTCGGGACCGAACACGGCAGTCACAGATGCTGATACAAGTGATCGAGCGTCTATAGAGACGCTCGATTGCTTGACTGTGTTAAGCTCCCGGCCGGCCGTGTAATTACAACGGTAGGCCGGGAAGCAGCTCGTCGGGCTCCACTGTCTGCTCGTCACAGACGAGTGGACGAGTGGATTTTTCGAGCCCTGATTATAAGCAAAACCCTAATTAACTTTTAGGTCTGTTAACCCTTTCGCCGTCAAAGCTATTTTTTGCATACATAATAAAATGCGCTTTTTAGGCCTGAAAATTGCTTAAACCCCCTTATCCCCCCAAAATGATATATGTTCAGAGGCTCTGTAAAATAAAATGGTAGTAGTTGCAATGTTTTATACTGTTTAGGAAACCCAGATTTCCAGTAAAGAATACACTTAATACATTTATTAGACTAATTGTAGTGCATATAAACACAATATATTACCCAATTTTTGTCAAATATAAAAGATGAGATTGTGCCAAGTAAACAGATACCAAGCATGTCAAGCTTCAAAATTGTGTGCGCTTGTGAAATGGTGAAACACGTCAGTTCCCCCATCAATAGGTCGATGTTTTAAACATTTTTTTTACAGGCCATTCATTTAGTGTTAAAGTGACATTAAACCCTCAGATTTTTTAACATAAACCAATAGTGTAATGTGTGCCTTACTGTAATCCATGGTTGTTTCCCTTCTCTTTGCTGCTCTTCCTTTTAAATCCTCATATCTTCTCATGCTGGGGAGAACTTCCCTTTGCAGCTGAGTGCCTCTTCCTGTAGTGCTGGCTCAGGTTGTGAACCTACACACAGACACCATGTAGCCATTCCAGAGACAAGGCAGTCTGCTGCAAAACAGAAGTTCTGCCCACCATGAGAAGAGATACATATTTAAAAGGAAGAGCAGCAAAGAGAAGGGAAACTACCATGGATTACAGTAAGCGCACATTACAGTATTGTTTTATGTAAAAAAATCTGAGGGTTTAATGTCACTTTAACTGTGAGTAATGGCCCTATAATTATTGCTCTAACTCCAGCGTGCACTGTAATACCTAACATGCGTGGGCAATTGTGGTTTGTTGTACATGTGCACAGCTGACACCTTGAAGCCCATTGAACCTAATCAAGCCTAGGTCATGCTTGATTAGCTTCTTCTCCAGCCTCTGTAAAACCAGAACTGACCTGGGCATGTCGGGTGGGGAGGAGAAAGCGTGTTTGAGAACCCACAGAAGTGATCGGGTGGCTGTAAAAATCACACTTCCAGTGTAAAGCTGACATTCGGCTTTAGATATGCAAATAGACTTCTGGCTGCTATAACCACCAGGTGTCTGCTTACAGGGTTCCACTCTTGCCAATGTATGGCATACATGGGAGACAACGAAACGTTATATAAATAATTTTAAACATTTTGTTATATCTGTTTTATAAGTGCAAAAAAACGGTTAATGTCAGAAATTCAGAGCTGTCCTATGCAGGTTTCCTTTGTTAGTTCAAAGAGTCTATTTATTTCACCTAGTTCTTAGCTTAGGACAGCAAGTCAATTAGTGCTTATGCTTTGGCGATACAGACAGTTTAGCAAAAGAAAATTGGGCAAGGCTGACACCCCGAGTGCATTTCTGGCAGACGAAGAGGTATTTTTCTGTACCTGCACTGGTCCTTAAAGGGATTAAACATGGGGAATTGTGCATGTATTGCAGATATGTATTGCCTTTTTAAAAATGTTGTCTTCACATACGCTTTAAGTGAAGAGTAAGTGTTTACTTATGTCATACACCAATGTTGTGCCAAGTATTATTTAAATGGGCTGCAATTTGTCATATCAGCATCACTGCTTACAGTGACATTAAACTCAGGAATTACATCTTAAAAATGCATTCATGTACCTCAACTATTAACAAAAATGTATCTGTTTTATGCATCACTCAGATGTACATCCACAAATCATATCTGAATTGGTGCTGACAAGTAGGAGGTTGCCTACTTTTGTTCCCAATGGTCCCTGTGTTTGTTGTAAAGTAGCCACCTCCAAGCTCGCTCCCGTGATACAAATTAGTAAACTAAATGTGAGTTTGTAGTCTATCACAGGAGTGATCTTGGAGCGGTGGCTACTTTACAACAAACACAGGGACCATGGGGAACAAAAGTAGGCACCACCCCCAAGAAGGAACGACAGTGTCAGCACAAATGCGGCGATGATTTGAGGATCTACAGCCAAGTGATACATATATAAGAAACATTTGTATTAATAGTTAAGGTACATGAATTAATTTTTAAGATTTAACTCCCGAGTTTAGTGTCTCTTTAAGCTCCCCTTATGAAAGTTATGAAGCAGAATCTTGGAGATCGAAAATGAAACACAATAACAAACAAGCTTTTTTTTCTATAATTTTAGGTTACACAGTTGTATCATAACATCTCTTTGCCATTTATGCTCTTTACTTTAAGAAAGGGCTGATTTCCTAAAAGTTGGTGTAAAATGTTATATATAAAACTATTACTAGTTTTAGAGCAGTGGTGAGTCAATTGGTATAATTGTTAAATGTTGCATAAAACTAGGGCAGTCAGGAAACTATCCTGATGCCACAGATACACATACATTTTTCTTCTGCATAATAAGTAGGTTTGTTATTGCATCTAATACTTGGCATACAATAGAGAGACACATTTTCAATCTTTGCACTGAGTTATCTGGTAAGGAATTTGTCATTTTAATGAGTTATCCAGGTGTGTTTTTAAAGTTAGGCCCCTTTCACACAGCCGGTCTGATCGGGTCCGCCTGTCAGTTTTTCCGGCGGACCTGATCGGATGCTCAATGCAAGTCTATGGGCAGCTGTGTGTAAACGAGTGTCCATTTGCACCTGGTTACCCCCGCCTCCAGCCGGGTCTGGGGAAACAGGCAGATCAGAGATCCATTTCGCCAGGCCGGATCATGCTAAATCAGGGGTAATCTAATGTAAACAGACACATGTCCATTTACATCAGACTCCCCATAGACCAACATGGAGTCCATCAGTTTCTGTTTTTTCCCTCCAGTGCAAGGTGGAGGAAAAAACTGTATGGACACAGATGTCACAGCTGTGACATCCCCTCTGTACTGCTGTGATCAGAAGGGGATCCATGCACGGATCCTCTCCTGATTGGCCCGAGTGAAAGAGACCTTACTGATCACTGTGAACAGGCTTTTATGAAAAGAGGGGTTAAATAGATAGAGATTGCTGATGAAAAGAAGCCCAAGCCTCCATTTTCTTGTTATAAAAAAGAATATAATATATTGCTAAGCAATATTTCATATTTGCCTGACCATAGTAAATAAAGAAAATATGTACAAAACCACTATACCTTCCTTTTAACCAATAATTATTTTCTAAATAAATGAGCTGTAGTGTGCAATGTAAAAAATTATCTATGTGTATCTGATGGATAATTGTCATTTACATGAGTATAGCAGCTCATTCTTTGATCATATGACTAAAATGGTTTCTCACACACATGTTTTCCAATTCCAGCCAGAATGCACACATATATGCTGGAGAAGACCCGTCTCATTGCTCATGCTCAAGGCCAAAGCAACTTCCTTATTTTTTACCTAATGATGGATGGCCTGTCTGCTGAAGAGAAATATAACCTGTACCTCAGGAGCATATCTGCACACAGGTAATGTACATCCTCTTTGTGCTGTTTAAAAGAATAGTCAAAACACAGTAAGGATTAGTTTGCAGCATTCATTGTGAATGAACTGCCATATAGCTTTAAAGGAATTTTGTCATACTAAAAACATTGAGGCTACCATTGTTGTCATTTAATACTGAAATTTGTAATTTTTTTGGGCTGTTATGCTTAACCTTTTGCTTCTATGCTTTAAGTCACCTAGAACAAGTATGCACATAAGGACCTCTGACACTTCTCTGACTTTTCTGGTGACTAGCATTTTCAAGAAGGGGTCAATAATGACAATGCCTGTATTTCACCTATGACATTGGTAAACTGCTATTTCACCAATTTTAATGACATGCTTAATTTTTATACACTTGATTTCTTTTTGACAAATGTAGACCTGTTATTAATACTTGGAAAAAAAGAAGAAAACTACCAAAAAAGCCTTGGAGAGTACACTGAGTGGCCAGTTTATTATGACCACCTGACGTTTGTAGCCAAATTAGCTATAATTAGCTATAAATTTGCGCTGAAATTGCTGGAGGGCCAGACAATTATAAATAGGGAAGCAGGTTGTTTACCACGACAGTAGAAGTAATTTTTTTCTGAAGATATGGGTAAACAACACGATTTAGCAGCCTTTGAACGTGGCATGACTATTGGCGCAAGCCATGGAGCGAGTATCAGCAAAACAGCAGAATTTGTAAAATGTTTAAGAGGGGCTCATTGTTAAAGTGTTTTAAGACTGGACTGTCAGCCGAAAATCTGGGTCTGAACTTTCGAATTGTGGACGTCAGCAACTAGTCAATGCCGTCAGCAAGACTGGTACAAGACAACAGAAGGGCAACAGTGCAGTGTCAGATTCCTCGCAACACCTTTCAACATCTCGTGGAGTCACAAAGCGACCCAACGAAGTCATCTCGTAGAGCCATCTCGTGGCCCAACTAAGTACTGATGGGGTGGTCATAATAATTTGGCCACTCAGTGTACTTCCATACAAAGAGAAACATTAGTGTATCATGAAGCCACATACTTTGTAGTCTCATCTTCTTTGGGAGTTATTAATGTGAGATCACCTGCTGCAGAAGGTTCCAGAGCACTCTGTCAGCAGATGCTTTTAAAGTGGAGCTAAACTCAGAAGTCAAATCTTACAAATGTATTCAAGTACCTTAATTGTTACCAAAAATGTATATTATATGTGTATCACTCAGCTATATATTTCTCAAATCATCTCTGAATTCATGCTGACACAGTCCTTTCTTCTGGAGGATGCCTACTTTTGTGCACCTTGCTACAAAGGCTAGTTATAAATTGTGCGGTTACCATGTATTTTTAGCTTGGCTGTATTTGGTGTGGGGACGCACTGGGGGGCCTGGCATGCATTTTGGATTGCTGGGTCTCCTGTGCATCCCTGTGCCTTTAAGGAGGAGTGGGCTCCCTTCTGGCATACCTGCATTCAATGTATCTACTGCTTAACCTCTTGCCGTCCGCCCGTAGTAAAAAAACGGACGGACGGCACTGCAGCATCTGCAATTTTTTTCTGCTCGCGCGCGCCCCCTGGCGGGCACGCACGGGCAGAAAAGACCCGTCCAATGCGAACACCGGGTACCGGGTGTTTCACATATAGGCGATCAGCGGGTCCATAGCCCGCCGATCGCCTATATGTGCTCGTTCGCGGCACCCAACCCCGGGATCCGCTGCCCCATCTTGGATCCCGGGACCGGCTCCGAGGGCGTCAGGAGGAGGAGGACGGGAGATCAGCTCCTTGCTGATCCCCGTCCGGGCTGTGAATGCAGAAGTGATGTGTGTTACATCACTTCCGCATTCACCTGTCAGTCATCTGGAGAGAGAAGAAGCTGATAAAGCAGATCTCTGCTTTATCAGCTTCTTTTGGGGTCCATAGGTGATATTAGGGGTCCTAGAGACCCCTAATATCTCCATAAAGAGGACCTGTCAGTGTGCCTTTGCTATTATATAGGGGGTTGTTATCCCCCTATATAATAGCAATAACAATAAGTGCAAAAAAAAAAAAATAAATAAAAAAAAAGAAAAGTAACACATAAAAAAATAAAATAAAATAAAAGCCACATATAAAAAAAGGGGAAAAAACCCCCCCAAAATGTTTAACTCCCCCACCCCCACGTTTACGCGCCTATAAACGTAAATACGCGTCCGGTGCCCCAGCGCGCAAAAATTACAATTGCGCTACACATGTTACATATCGCCGCGAACGTCGCAGTGAGAGCAATCATTTTAGGGCCATCAATCACTGATAACACTAAACTGATGAGCGGTAACAGCTTTTAAAGCGTCGCCTAGGGCCAATTTTGGGTATTATCGTTTTTTGAGGTTTCGCGCGCGCACGCAATTTTAAGGCTTGACATGTTTAGTGTCTTTTTACCCGACGTGACCCCATCTTTTATATTTTACCAAAAAATTGGGTAATAATAAATGTTTTATCATTTAATATAGGGGAAACTGTTTTTTTTTTTTAATTTTGGTAATTTTTCCTTAATATAGTAAAAAAATAAAACCCCCAGTGGTGAATAAATACCACCAAAAGAAAGCTCTATCTGTCCCCAAAAAAGGGTATAAAATTCATTTCAGTACAGCGCTGCATGACGGAATAAATGTCAAAGTACCGCAGCGCTGAATACTGAAAAATGGCCTGGATGGGAAGGGGGTTTAACACCGCGGATGTCAACTGGTTAAATATGCTCCAATATGGAGACTCACAAAAATTTAAGTTAGGACCACACTACACAGAGGAGCCTTGGAGAGGCAGTGTGGCTTCCACATATTTTGCAAAAGTTGTGCAACTAAAACCTCTGTTTTTAACGCATACTGTTAGACAGGGAAGTTTGTTTTCTTGTAGGCTAGCTGATAAGTGTGCTGGGAAACTTCTGTGTTTTGTATTGTTGTAAGCCCTTCCATGTGCACCTTGCTACAAAGGCTAGTTATAAATTGTGCGGTTGCCATGTATTTTGTAGCTTGGCTACTTTTGTTCCCCATGGTCCATGTGTATGTCATAAAGTAGCCAACTATCCAAGCTCACTCCTGTGACTGACTGTATTCTCACGTTCAGTTTACTATTTTGTATTGAGGATTGTAGTCCATCACATGAGTAAGTTTGGAGCGACGGCTACTTTACAGCACACACAGGGACCATGGGGAACAAAAGTAGCCACCCTCCAGAAGGAAGGACAGTGTCTGCATGAATTCAGAGATAATTTGAGGATCTACAGCTGAGTGATACACAAATAAGATACATTTTTGTTAGTAGTTAAGATACTTGATTGTAATTTTAAGATAATTTAAGAAAAAAGATATTTTTTCCTCATCTCTTGTGTGAATGAAGACATAGGGTGAAACTGTAGAAGCTCTTGTAAGAGCAAGTTCCAAGGTATGTTGTGACTGCTTGATTGAGCAAATCCTGAAGTATATGGTCAGCTGTACTGTTTGATGTTGCTCTCCTCCTTTGCATTGGATGTCTGATAAGGGAGCAGATTAAAAAAAAAACATAAAAAAAAAATATGGCAAACACTAAAGAACAACAAATTAAAATATTTCTATTGTTTTTATATATTTGTTTAAAAAGGCCAAGACTGTATTAGGAATCTATTATAGAGTACAGTCTGGGAAGAGTACAAAAGATGTAAGAAAAGATTCGAGCAAGTAAAAAAATTAAGGATATACATTAAAGGAGAACTATGAGGTGAGTGCTTTTCACTCACCTCATAGTTCTAGCCGACCTGTGACAATGAGACAGGTCGGCTCAGTAGATCGGGAAGGGAGCGAACACATACCGGCGTTCGCTCACTTCTCGATCCTGTCACAGCTCTCTGCCGTGACAGGGGAGGGGCTGGATTCCCCCCTCCCTCCTCCAATCCTCCAGCGCTGACTGGCGGAATGGACGGGGGAGGGGGCGGGTACAGCTGGCTCTGCCTCTAGATAGGCAGAGCCAGCTGTCATTCACGCAGCTGGGCGGATCCAGTAGCTCGCGGTATACTGCAGCGTCTCATTATACCGCAAGCTGTAGCTCGCGGTATACTGAGCTTAGGGTGACGGGAGGACGCGAGTTTGTGTCCTCCCGTTACCCTAAGGAGAACTATGGGGAAAAGCCCCATAGTTCTCCTTTTAATATTCTTATTAAGCTAAACGATTCAGAATAGTATGCTGCTCATTATCATTTAATAATGAGGAAAGCTTGCATACTATTACAAATAATAAGCAGATCAAGAATAACAATGATAAAGCATATGGGGGGAGTAGAAACTGAGGAAAGTGTGGATGGAAATAAATGTGTCTAGCATAGTTACTATAAAAACAACTGAGACTGAAAAGTACTAGCGTTATGAGTAACTTCAGACTCGTAAACACATTGCCAGGTACAACAGTGGTTTTGTTTGGTCATTTTATTATATTGTTATTTAAGCCACATTCAATATTGAGCAATCAGGTTACTGGCATTGTTGAGGGTTTGTCAAATTTTGAATGTATAAAGTCCAAGGAGTCCAGACTTTTTCAAAATGTAAATGTCTGCCTTTCAAAATGCTAAGCTTTTTTTCACATAATCCATTTAAGTTATTGTTGGGTAGTACTAGGGAAAGGTTGGGGGAAAATCATGATGTGGCAATATTAGTTTTGATTCTAATATAAATCTAACACCACTCACCCATAATGCATAATTTATTTAATCCTACATGGTGACCAATGACTTTGCTGACAAACAAAGCCAACTCTAATGCTAACCCTAATACTTTTCCAAAAAAGCCATGTGATCACCAGGTGAGCGTCGGCATCATGATCAATGGATTTGTTGATAAACAATGTCATGTTTTAATAGTACTGGCAATTAATGGCTTTGATGATAAAGAAAGCTAAGTCAGTAACATTACTTTGTTTATCAATATTTGATGTGCACCTAAAATAAATAATTTTGTTAAAATGCATTATGTAAAGTGTATTTTTTTTTATAAAATAAAAGAGCTTCTTTAACC